ATTAGAATTACCAGTGGTTGTTAGCTGCCATGTGGGTGCTGGGAACTGAACCCGGGTCCTCTGCAAGAGCAGTCAGTGCTCTTGACCGCTGAGCCATCTCTCCATCCCCTATATATATAATATTTTTTAAAAAAGAATTGCCCCTTAAAAAGGTTCAAGGGCTGATGACTTGGTCCCTAGTGGGTGACACGGTTGTGGTTGGTGCCAGAGACTTTAGGAGCTCTAGGAAGTTGATCATGGGGGAAGAGAAGTTCTTGAGGGTGGCTAACTTGTCCCTGGCACTTTCCCATGTCTCCTATCTGCTTCTGATCACCAGTGTGAGCTGCTCCACTCCACCATGCTGGACTGAACTCTGAAACCATAAGCCAAAACAGATTTCCTCTAGTCTCTTGGCTACAAGAAAGCTGACTGACACACAGTGATGTTACTTCTAAAACCAGTCATGAATAACAAACGGCTATTTTTCATAGCATCTAATGTTTAAAAGTCAGGACCACATGAACTGGCATTTGTGTGAGTGTGCACACAGGAATATGCATGTGTGTAGAGGTGCACATGGAGGTCTACCTTAGGTGTCTTTTTCAATGGCTCTCCAAATTTTTTGAGACAGGGCCTCTCAGTGAGCCTGGAGTTCAGCTAGGTCAGGGAACCCAGGGATCCTCCTATCTCTGTCTCAGCTCTGACGCAGCAGGTACACCCTGCCACACCCAGCTTTTTACATGGGTGCTGTGGATATGAACCTAGTCCTCCTGATTGTGTGGTAACTACTTCACCAACTGAGCCGTTTCCCCAGACCCCTTCCTAGTCTTTTGAAGATGACGAAATGGAACATGAAGCCACCAACCATCTGTCAGAATAAGGCTGCTCCAGCTCAGGTTTTGGGAGCTTTGTGTCCCTCTCTCTAATGACTTGATTGAGGACATCCAGGTCGGAAAGGTTAGCATACGGCTGAGCAGCATTATCAAAGAGCTCCCAAAGTGTCACGCCCAGCGACCTGTGGACAATAACAGGGTTATTTCTCCTGGCCTTAGATGTCAAATTATTTAACAACCTCATTTTTATTTGCAGAGCCAGTAACTGCAAAGACAAGATGTATAAGGAAGTGGTTATTAGTAAGATCAGGATAAAACAGTTCAAACAAATAACCAACAAGCCAATGGCATAAAAAGAGGTTATTTCCCTTAAAATGAGAATGACAGGAAGGTCTTCTTATGTTTAACTCATCACCACTTAACAAACAGAGATAACAGCATAATTACAGGAATTAAGTAATATGATTGCCAACTTTAAAAACTCAAGAAATCAGATGAAAGGCTGTTTGAATGTGTTAAAGCTTGGCAAAAATGGTTCGATAATATAGAGAATCCAATTTCGAGGTAGGGGAAAAACTCCCATTCAATAGTAGTTGAATGAAGTAATTTCAAGAAATCTACATGCACAAAACTTCGGTGTTCAATGAGCCCTGCCACCTGTTGCTTTGGTCACTCCTCAGTATTAGGCCTTATGGCAGCTGTCTGGTATCAGAAGAGGCCTCAGTTTGGCACCACACAGTGGGACACCCTTTCTCCTGGTCTGTCCACCCAGTTCTTGCTCTTGTTGTTTTGAGACAAGGTCTCCCTGTGTAGTGTAGGCTGGTTTTGAACTCGTAGTAACCCTCCTGCTTTAGCCTGTCAAGATGCTCTGTCCTACCAGAAGCTACCTCAGCTGCTTGGCTCAAATGAAGTACCTTCTTTTTCCTTATTTGGGATCTCTTATTTCTTTCCCACTACTTAACTGTCTTATAGAATGTCTCCTATTCACTGCAATGTTCCCATGGACTCACAAGTGCTATCTGGGAACTTTTAAATATGCTCATTGGAACTTTGGCTCTTTATCATGTATTCTGAGCTAGCAGAGCCAGGTATGGCCTGGCAAAGTGGATTTTTTTCAGAAGCTCTGAAAGGTTTCCATCATTTACCAGATTTAAGTAAGGTAGTTTATGTGACTGTTCAGTATCTACCAGGAAACTCAATACTAAACAGCACTGAGCAATTTTCTTTGACTGCTGTGTAATCAACTTTACATTTCCTTATACTACCTTTACAAATGAGAAGAATCTGCATATTCACTATGTGTGTTGAAAGGATATAAAGCCTCTTCCAACCCCCCCCAAAAGCGCTTTCTCCTTCCTAGCACAAACTGTTGGCTGGATGACCACTTTACGTACAGAAGGTACTGCCCGTGACCTGAGAAACGTAACTGGGGAAAACGAGTTCACATGAAATGTTTAAAATAAAAAAGGCAACATATGACGTGTGGCACACCTCCAGGCCTAGTGAGCCTTGGGCAGACCTGTCTGCTGCCTCAGATTTTCCACATCCTCTGTTTACCTCACTTCCCCTCTAGTAAGGCCCATTCCCAGACTAATTCCCCCTCAGGCCTCTGCCCATACCACCCTTCAGAGGAGATGGAATGAAACATAGGATTCCCAGTTCCTTAAACCCTGGAGTCTTGTTCTTCTGGGAAGAAGCGTCCTACAGCTCCCTTCCCCTCACCCCAAACTCTACAGGAGGTTCCTCTCACACATGAGCAGTGTGCTGAGACCCTGCCACCAGGGACTGTTTACTATTAGGAACAAGGGCAGCTTGGCCTTGAGGAATACAGGCTACATTTTCAGGTCAGTCATCCCAGTAAGTGCAATAAAATGCTGGTGAAGCATAAATGGAATCTTCTTAATGAATCAAAGAGTAAAGAAGAACCAGGAGGAGAAAGACAACTCAAATAACAGAACACAAAAGCTACCTTGCCTTGAGGCATCTATGGAAGCACTGGGCTTCTTTGCTTGATTTCTAAGGCTGATGGAGGAAGACGTTGTAGAACAAGCCAAAGCCCTGGGCTCACCCAGCTAAGATATCCTAAGGAGAGATCCTGCTTCAGGGCAGGTATAACTCCACTCCTGAAAGGTAAGCTGCCATGGCAGCCAGGCAGGGAGAGAAGAAATGCATGTGATGGAGAGGGGCCACAAGTCACCAGAGCTGGCCTTGGCAAACCCACATTATCTGAGTGAAAAGTCCTCAGGCTGACTATGCAAAGCCCTGCTCCAGAGCAGGACCCTGCATGTCTAGCAGAAGCAAATGCCAGACTTCTCTGCAGGAATGTGTCTCATTCTAGATATCCAAAGGTCCTCATCATAAGGAAGTCTCAGAGGAAACAAGGAATTGTCTACAAGTGAGAGGACCAAGGCTTCCCTTCCTGGGATTATCTGACATAGATCATACTTTAATTGGTAAAAAGAAAAGAAAAAACCCGAAACATTGTGATAATCAACAACAACAAAACCGAAACTAAGAGAACAATCACCCTAATAGAGATGGAACAGCAGATGGACATCAGCTGAAGAGAGGGTCTTAGGAACAGAGAACCAGTAGCTGGAGCACAGGTCAAAGGAATCATCCAGACGGGACACAGAGAATTAAAGAGGTGGACGAAGATTGAGTAAAGAGAGAAGACAGAGCAGGAAGCAACAGCACATGCCAAATTGGACTTCCAAGTTCAGAAAATGGAGCAGAGGCAACAGGTCAAAGGATAAAGGCTAAGAATTTTCCAGAACCAATTGGTACCACCAACCTATAGATTTAGAAAGCCAAATAAATACGAAGCAGTAGGGAAAAGTATCAATTCACATCCACAAAATTCACAGTCCCACACATCATGGTAAAAATAGAAAGAAAAACAAAAAAGTCAAAGAGATTTTGAAACTAGACAGGGAGGAAAAAGTCACTTTCCCTTCCAAGAGCTCAGGCAGACTTACAGCTGACTTCTCAAAAGCAACAAAGGAAGGCGGGGAATCTTCAACACGCTGAGATTAAGTCAAAACACATTTCAAGAATGAGGACATGCCAGGCATGGTGGCTGTGGTGGTGTGAATGACAATGTCCCCCATAGGCTCCAAGTATTTGATGGCACTGTTTTGAGAGATCTTAGGTTTGGCCATGCTGAAGGAAGCACATCGCCGGGGTGCGTAGAGAGTTCTTACGCCTTGCCAGATCTCTGGTTATTCTCTGCTTCCCTGCCTGCTTGAAGATGTGAGCTTCTACTTTCTGTTCCTGCTCCAGCCACCTCCTGCCACCATGCCTCCCCAACATGATGGACTCTATTCCCCTGAAGCCCTAAACTCAAATAAACTCTTTCTTTCATAAGTTCTCTTGGTCACAGTGTTTTATCACAGCAACAGAAAAGTAACTAATATAGTGTTGCACACCTTTAATCTCAGCACATGGGAGGTAATGGCAAGATCTCTGTGAAATTGAGGCCAGCCTGGTCTACATAGTGAGTTCTGGGACAGCTGGGACCCAACAAAATAACAAAAGTAGAAGGTCATTACATGACAATGGTGGTGACTACTGTGGTACCACCCAGCACTCAGTCTGCCTCCTACTTAACTTTCATACTCAGACAGAAGGCAGTCAGGCCCTTCCAGACCCTTGCTAAGGAAACCAAGTAAAATGGTATGCCAGATACATACCAGATATTACTGTACTTTGTCTGATCTGCAGTCAGGAGTCTGTCTTGAAAGCTGGTCACTAATTCTGGTGCAGTCCATCTCAGGGGGAAGAGTTTTTTGTCATCTGTTTCAATGTAGTCTTCCTGTGTGGTGAGAAAGCACAGATTTGCAGTAGAATTCTAAAATATTTATTTTTACTTCTTATGTGTATGAGGGTATTGCCTGCATGTATGTAAGTGCACCTGTTGTGCAATGCCCGCAGAGGTCAGAAGAGGGCGTCAGATCCCCTGGAACTGGAGTTATGGATGGTGGTTAGCTGCCATGTGGGTCCTGGAATCTGAACCTGGGTCCTCTGTAGTGCTTTAACCGCTGAGCCAAATGTCCAACCCCTTGCAGTGGAAATCTACTAGATGGTTTCACAGCAGATTATTCTCAGGAAATGCACATCTGACCCAAAACACAGCAGGAACAAAAAAAGAAGCATGAAGACAGACTCTGAAGTCTCGTGGGTTTCATGAACTAGCCTCTGAATCATGAAGCTTGTTCATCTACCCTTCCTAGAAGGAGTCAGCACACAAGGCTGGTGCAACAGCACAGACCCTGAGTCAAACACGTGTCAGCACACAGTGAAAAAGGGACCATGCTGGTTCAAATACAGGCTTTCAAATCTGACAGACTAGATCATGGGTCCTCCTTCCACCACTCACCAGTGATAAGACTGGGTGAGTGACAGATACTGGGAGCCCTTTTCCTCAGCTATAAACAGGGACTGTGCAAAGCTACCTACCTTAGTGATGGGAGTAAAAAGATAAGGCTGGCAACAACTTCAGAGTACACAATAAGTGTTTAAGATACTACAGGTAGGGGCTAGAGAGCTGGCTCAGCAGTTAAGAGCACTGGCTGCTCTTACAGAGGATCCAGGTTCAGTCCCCAGCATCTGCACAGCAGCTAACAACTGTAACTCCAGTTCTAAGGGATCTAATGCTAGTATTTGCACAGATAACCAGCCTAAATATTCATAATGTTTTGAAAGCATGACACCTTTGGTTCTCACAAGAATCCACCCAAGTCTTTATGCTACTGTGTTATAGGGCTAGGGTCGTGTGCCTTGCAGTTCTGCTAGCATGGAGCTGCAGCAATGTCATTCTTTGCCCCATACGCTACACCTCATTCAGAAGAGTTAAGCAAACACATATAGATGGTAATCTCATTTTACTAGTTTTCTTTAGGGGTATATTTATGAGAATTTTTAAACAAAACCCAAATCTCAAGCTTAATAAATGAACTTGAGCTACAATCTTAGCATGACGTGTGCATGTTTGTTGTTGTCCTTGCTTTTAATCTTTTATTTTTATTTTATGTATATGTATGCTCTGAATGCATGTATGCAAGCACATACATGCAGTGCCCACAGAGGCCAGAACAGAGTGTCAGATGCCCTGGAACTTGAGTTATGGGCAGTTGCTAGCATTCATGTGGGTGCTGGGAACTGAACCCAGGTCCTCTGCAAGAGCAGACAGTGCTTTTAACCATTGAGCCAGCTCACTAGCTCCCCCACTCCCTTTTCTTGTTGTTTTTCAGACAGGCTCTTACTATGTAGTCCTAAGTAGCCTTGAACTCACAGAGATCTGCCTACCTTCTCTCTACCACCAGAGTGCTGGGATTAAAGACATGGACCACTTTGCCTGGCTTGTGGTTTACTATACGAGTATTAATAACTATTTTTGCTCACATGCTCATTATAAAATTTATTATACGTGGGGCTGCCCAGATGGCTCAGCAGGTAAAGGCACTTGCTGCCAAGCCTGTGATCTCAGTTTGACCCCAGGGACTCACATGGTGGAAAGAGAGAACTGACTTTTGCAAGCTATCCTCTGACCTCTGCATGCATACCCTGGCACAAATGTGCCCACAAATATACACACGCATGCACACAAAATAAATAAATTTAAATGTAATAAAAATTTTTAATTTAAAAATATATTTAGTCAAATTAAGTCAATTATACTGAACCACAAATCTCTTTATACAGAGACTTTGGAGAGCTGTCATAAACTTCAGGGCACAAAGCCACTGATTTAGACAAACCAGAAGCCATTGGTATGTATTATTAAAAAAAAAAACCGGGACAGACCCTGCTCCACAAAGGTCATATCATGATGACTGAGATCCTCACCAAGCATGGAGTGGCACTTTGAGACACAGCTTCACAACCAACACTGCACGGGTTAGGGAGACACATGCAAAAGCTTTTTTTTTTCTTTTTTCTTACCTTGTACCTGCTGAATCCTATTCCATAGTCACCCACTTTGACGTTTAAATCGGAGGTGAGAAAACAATTCCGCAGGGCCAGATCACTGCAGACAGAAATAGTGAGTGAGCCCAAGAACACACAACCAGGACTGCAGCGTCAACTCTCAGGGCCAGAGTCTTTCTCTGGAGTCCTGTCTTCACCTCTGCTTAGTAATTAATGTCCTTTTTTATTTTTCAGCATGAAAGAGTTAAGCACCATCCCTAACTACATTTTAGTCAAGTAACTGCCAAGGTTAAATACTGACTGTATCTGTGCTTCAGCACTAAAACAATCCATATTCGTGGCTTGTGTTCTCTCTCTCTCTCTCTCTCTTTTTTTT